TACTGTTTCGAAGGGAGGTTGCCCCTTATTTCTAGAGCAAAAATTAACACTCATTTAATAAGGCTGATAAATAGAAGGAGTTGTTTACCACCAAGAGAAATGGTTTCAAAGCTTTAAGCAAAGTTAGCTAAGAAGATTCAGATTACAAACAGCTGAAAAATGGAACCAAAAGCCAGCAACAAGCTGCCTTTCTGAAACCATCCTCCATGTGACTGAATCCTCACTGAAGCCCGTACCCCATTTCTGGGCAGAAGCAGTACTAGCTGTGAGGTGGGAACGGCAGTAACCTGCACTTTCTAATTTAGTATTCAAGAAAACCATTTTAGGGATATCAAAGCTTTTGTTAAGATCTTACCATTTATACAAGTAGGGTACTGGAGGTTTTTGTTTATTAGTGTGATTCTTTAGGTTTGTTGTTGCTTGTTGGATTATAATGAAGACTTTATAATGGGTATACTGTGGATGTGGAAGCAAATTTCCTTGTTGCTAGTTGTCATCTTTAGTTTTGATTGATACTTTGTTAATTCTGTGCTTTTTAGCTCTTAAATGTTCATCATTTTATCATGCAGATTCTTAGAGGAAAACGATTATTTGGAAAGAATATTTCTTTTTTTGTACCAAGAGTTGTAGATTAGATTTATTCTTGGGACTGTCCTTGTCCGTGGTTCTCAACCTTGCTAGATCCAGTGCTCTGCTTTTGGTAACATATCTGGTAATGCCCTTTTGACTGTCCTGAAATAAAATTCATAAATGATAAATTCTACATGCACACATACTCTTTTTTAAAAAAGTCAATATACTGCCCTATGTAATGGAGGAAGATGAAAAGTAATTAAAAATAAAATAATAAGATTTTAATGTGTAAATGTTGATGTGTGACCATACTACGTGGCATAATGAAATTGTCAGAGACCTAGAGAGTTACCGTAACTTCAAGGATACAAATGCAGAGCGATGTAAGTATCACGTATTGGTAATTTAAACTCCTTCACTGGTGTTACTGTCAATGATGTGGTCTTTAAAAATAGTGACTGGAGGGACCAGCAGTTGGCGTAATGGCTATGTCGCTGGACTCCCATGTAGTTGACTGTGGTCTGAGTCCTGGACCTGGTGGCTTAAAACTCACACTGGGTGTGTGTGCATGCATGCCCCAGATCCCAAGAGGAGAATGGAGGAGAAGGAATTGTGCCATGGCCATATCCCCTGGGGGGTGATTTCTCGCTTTCTGTCTCTTTGTTTTCCCCGCAAGTACACAGGCCCTATAGCAAAATCTTCTTTAAACAAAACAAAACAAAACAAAACAACTAGTGACTAGCTCTTGGTTCTAAGCAAAATAAAGAACAATTATTCTCTCAGTTTCCCAAAAAAATACATTTCTACATTATTACTACCATGGAAAAACACTTTGTCTTTGTACGTAAAGTACAGTTAAATTCATCGATCAAAATATAATTATTTGGGCCTGGATTCATAATTTTAAGTTTTTTTCAGCCTTGTGACTGTCTGGTAGGACATTCAGAACTATGTGGGACAATGGGTGAGACCATCCCACCCATGTCAAGATGTTCAGTTTCTCTCCTTGCCTGTAAATACCTCAAGTGTCCTCAAGTAAACCAGAAACCACCCCCACAAATTTCTAAAACATTCTGGGACGGGGGAGTAACTGCCCCTATTGAGGTCCATTGTTTTACTGTTATAAATTGTATTTATTATAGAAATTAAATTCTTATTTTTTAATGCTAAAAATTCCTTGCTAGAGACCAGTAGGTGGTGTGGAGGTTAAGATGGCTGGATCCCACAGGGCCGACTGCAGTTTGAGCTCTGGACCCCGGGGCTTGGAAATCAGTCCAGGCATGTGTGCATGCATCCCCAAAACTTGAGAGGAAAAGAAGGAGAAGAAAGGATTGTGGCCGGGCCATATCCCCTGGGGGGGTGATCTCTCACTTTCCCTTTCTTTCTGTCTGTTTCTGTCTGTCTCTGGCAAGTGCACACACTGTGCCCTCTAGCAACAACAAACAAACAACTTAAAAATAATCCTTGCTACTCCCATGTTTTCAAACTTTCACAAATTTGGAGTTATATTTTATTTCTTCATCTTTCATATCTAATCAGTTGTGTGCACTGGCTATTAATAACTGAATTTTGAATTAATACCATTTGTGATTAGAAAAGACTTTTGAGGTCTTAAAGACACTAGTTGTAGGCTAATGTTAGTTTGAAGAATGTTTCTAGTCTGCAGTGAGATAAACACAGAAAGTGAGAGAAGAGCTTAACTTTCATAGCAGTTTGAGACTGCCATGGCATTGAAGTGCATGGTTTTAATGTTTTACAAAAATATCAGTTTGCATATTAGAAATAGTCATGTTTTGGGACCAGTAGTTGGCGTAATGGCTATGTTGCTGGACTCCCATGTAGTCGACTGTGGTTTGAGTCCTGGACCCAGTGGCTCACGCCGGATGCATGTGCGTGCGTGCCCAAGATCCTGAGAGGAGAATGGAGGAGAAGGGATTGTGGCGTGGCCATCCCCCCCGAGGGGGTGATTTCTCGCTTTCTGTCTCCCTGTCTCTCTCTGTCTTTCTGGCGAGCACACACATCCTATAGCGAAAAGCTCTCCAAAAACAATAAAAAAAGAGAAATAGTCATGTTTTGGGGCCAGCAGGTGGCATGGTGGTTAAGGGTGCTGGACTCCCACATGACCGACTGCTGTTTTGAGTCGAGGACCTGGCGTCTTTTTTTCTCACTTTCTCTCTCTCTCTGTCCCTCTGGTCAAATTAAAATAAATAAGTAAATAAATAAATAAATGAGTAGAGTTAAATAAAATAATTATTAAAAAATAAATAGTCATGATTTTTACTATAATTTTTTTGAGAGAGATTTTTGCTATAGTGGCACATGTGCTCACGGGAGAGACAGAGAGACAGAAAATGAGAAATCATCCCCCAGGGGAATGGCCACACTACAGTCCCTTCTCCATTCTCTTCCCAGGATCCTGGGCATGCATGCTAAAATGATTTTGAAGCCACTGAGTCCAGGACTTGAATCATGGTTGGCCTTATGGGAGCCCAGTGACGTAACTGCTAGACCATCTGGTGGTCCCAGTTTTTTGTTTGTTTGTTTGTTTGTTTGTTTTTTGAGAAACACTGAAATAGACAAGTAGTTTTCAAGGCATTTAAACACTTTTATCAAACTAAATGTGTAAGCTCAATGTGTAAAACACATGAAAGTGAAGCTCTCTTAGAACTTGTCTGGGTCTGAAAAATTTAAAACTCCCACAGTGGCCTCCTCAGTGACACCACAGACCCCTCTGGAGAGTCTCAGAGCACTGTTTGAAACCTGCTGGTTTATAGAAGCCAACACACTTCTTTTACTACTGACATTATTGGGGCTAATTATACCCCATGACAGATGAAGGATAATTTTTCCTAATTTATAAATATACCTGTACATTATCACAGAAGAGATACATACAAAACTCCAACTAGACTGAAAGTCAACACCTGAAATTTGGGTTTCTAGTAACTTTCGTCTCTGGAACTATTTTTTTTTTTTTCAAATTTTTGTTTGTTCTCTTTGTCTATGAATAAACCTGTGGAGTGACTTTGTCCTGGCAGCCATGGGCTTCTGAGTCAGTTTTGCTCTATTCTGTTGGCTACTGGAGGTGACGACAGAGGGCCTCCAAAGTGAATATTTTAAGTTTATTATCACTGCCATGAGTGAGAGAGACGGAAGGAGGTCTCTTCCGTCTCATCCCTAACAAGGTCTCTTCTTTTCTTCCTCACGATAGAGAATTTGTTTGTGCGTGTGCTCGTGAGAAAGAAAAAGAGAAGTACCCTTGACAGGGTCATGTCTCAGTGGGGTTCCCCTTCCCTAGCCCCCAGTTCACAGGATCCTGGGCACCCACGTGCACACCTGGCATGTTTTTCAGTCCAACCCAGGGATCCAAACCAGTCGTCATCATAGAGCTTCTAGATCTGCAAGGCACTTGTACTATTGCTGCACCAGTGGGTGGGCTCCTAATAAGGTCTTTTTTTTTTTTTTTTTTTTTTGAGAGAGAGATTTTTGCTAGAGGGCGCATATACTCACTGGAAAGACAGAGAAGAGAGACAGAGAGCAAGAAATCACCCTTTGGAGGGATGGCCACTCCACAATCCCTTCTCCTCCATTCTCCTCTCAGGATTTTTAGACATGTGCTCACACATGCCCAGTGTGAGTTTCAGGCTGCTGAGTCCAGGTCTTGAACTGCAGTCAGTCGTTGGGAGTTCAACACCTTAACCATTACACCACCTGCTGCCCCACCCCCTTGCCTTTTTCTTAAGAATTTTGCCATAGGGTGTGTGCTTACCAGAGAAAGACGAGGAGAATGAGAAGTCACCTCCCAGAGGGGTTGGCCCTAACCACCAGGACACCTGCTGGCCCCTGAAGTGAGTTTTGTATGTACAGCACTACTTGAATTTTAGGCAAATTAATCCTATATGCATTTTTAAAATTTGACAAAAGTTCTCATAAGGTAACCCACGGAAAGGTGATGTTTTTACCTGGATGCCATACATCTGATTATTTCATTCAGTTGCTTCAAATTCTCCAGTGGTTTCAAATTGATTTCCCTGTTTCTTGCTCTCTGTAGGAACCCTGGATTTTTATTTTATTTTTTGTAAGTGATTAGTTTTTTTTCCCTGTTTTAGTATCTTTTCAGAACCGTTCTCCTCTTACCCCAACTCAGGCTACCTAACTGATGTTTCTTCATATTTTAGTTTAAACATCATCTTGGAGAAACTTAGTCTCCTTCACTAGCTTGGTGTCTTTGCAATGTATTCCCAGACTGTCATGCATTTCTTCTTCATCACAGTTGATATAAAATTTTTTTCCACGTGGTTATTAGCTTGTGTATTCTCCCTATAGATTGATGCTATGTCTGCAATGTTCACTACTGTCCCCATTGTCTAGCAGAGTGTCCAGCATATAGTAGATGCTAATTTTTTTCTTTCTTTCTTTTGTTTTAGGTTAAAGAAAGACCAGATGTGGGAGTTTACATCAAAGATTTATCAGCTTATGTGGTAAATAATGCGGATGATATGGACAGAATTATGACACTAGGTCACAAAAACCGTAAGTATAGTATGTAGTTGTGATAAGCATTTATGTGTGGAGTAGACTGGTTTAGAAGCAAAACTGGAATGACCTTTGCCCTGTAGAGGTTGGACTTTTAGCGTTTCTGAAGATTCTTCCCCTTTGGTTATTTACTATGTAAAAACCATAGATGAATGAAAAATCATAGACTATTTTCTGTGCTCAGTCAAACCAGAGGTTTTTTCCTTCATAATAATGTGCTAGTTTTTGAAACATACATAGTTGTCTCTCTTTTTGTGTTTTACTTTCCTATTGCCAAAAAATTGTTTTCATCATTTATTTATTTATTTTTACATTTTCCCACAAACATTTATGTTACATATCAAAAATTTTTTGCTGATACTCCATAGTTCTTGACAGTTAATAAACAACTTTCAAAATTTCATAAAACTTGAGTTTTAAAGATAACGTTCAAAATATTTATTCTAATTTTGTTTGTGACTCTATAACAGCAGAGACAGTATGGTTTTAAATATTTTTGAGAAAATATTTGCATGCCAACTACTCATACTGTTGAAAAGCAAATGCCCAGCACACAAGTCACACATAAACCTTCACAATTCAGCCCCGCCTATCAAGTAGTCTGTGATATACAGAATCTGCTCTCAAAGATCAGTCTCTTTTTCTTTCTTTAAAAGTCTTCCTCAAGATAATCCTCTGGAGGGAACCAGCAGTTAGCCTAATGGCTATGTCGCTGGACTCCCACGTAGTCGACCGCGGTTAGCGTCCCGGACCCGGTGGCTTAAAACTCACGCCGGGCGCGTGTGTGTGCGTGCCCAAGATCCCGAGAGGAGAATGGAGGAGAAGGGATTGCGGCGTGACCATCCCCCCTGGGGGGTGATTTCTCGCTTTCTGTCTCTATGTCTCTCTCTGTCTGTCTGGCGAGCGCACGTGCCCTACAGTGAAAATCTCTCCAAAAAAAAAAAAAAAAAGATAATCCTCTGGTGTGGTTGCTCTTTTGCAATCTCTACTGATTACAATGCTGGGCTGGAAAAGTCCAGCCTAGTTTATGGTATGAATTCTTCCATATAGCTTCTCTATTCCTCTCTGCCAGGCAGAACTGTTTATGGTGCTAGGTCATCTTTCCAAGACCTTCTGTTGGCTTACTGACCTTAGTTCCATAGTGAAACATAATTAGTAAATACTTGTGCTTTAAAAAGGTGATCTTCCGGGGCCAGCTGGTAGTATGGTGGTTAAGGCAACTAGATCCCACATGGCCTATTGGTGTGGATCGAGTCCTGGGCTGTCAGCTTGAAAAACACACTAAGCATGTGTGCATGTGTGCCCCAGATCCCAGAAGGATAATGGAGGAAAAGGGATGGTGATGTGGCCATCTCCCTCATTGGGGCAGGGATGCTTTCTCACTTTCTCTCTCTCTGTCTTTCTCTGTCAAGCACATGTGCTCTATAGCAAATTGAAAAAAAAAAAGGAAAGAAAGAAACAATCTTCCTCACAATAGACAGTGATGCAATTAAATTTCGACTTCATGAATGAGGAAATTGAAACTAAGTTTAACTTGTCCAAGGTGATGTAATTACTAAGGGTAGGAGTGAGTATTTGACCTAGGCCATTAGTCTACATTACCAGACACTATCTTATCTCCCTTCTGTTGACAAGAAAAGCAAGATAAAATGGCATTCTTTTTAGTAATTATTTCAAATTTTTAATCTAAAGAATAAGAGACTTCAATATGTAATATATAGATGTCCAGGCCTACTGCTAATGATACTGCTAATAGAAATTAGAGGTAAAAGATAACATGGGGGGCCAGTAGGTGACTTGTTGGCTAAGACACTGGACTGCCACATGGTTGACTGAGGTTCGAGTCCCGAACCTGGTCATTTCCTTTCTCACTTTTCCTCTCGTTCTCTGTTTCTCTCTGGTGAGTACATGTGCCCCATGTGAGTACATGGCAAATTGAAATAAATAAAATAAATAATTCTTTAAAAAAATAGGAAGTGAAAAAAAATTTTAACTTTGTATAACTTGACTATAGATCTAACAAACCCAAAGAAATTAAGTGAAAATTTTTAAAATCAGTGACCTTTTTGGGGCTGGCAGGCAGCATGGTGGTGAAGGGCGCTGGACTCCCACAATGCTGACCGTGATTCAGACCTGGCGGCTTACTTTCTCACTTACCCTCTGTCCTCCTCTCTTGCTCTGTCCCTCTCTGGTCAAATTTAAATAAATAAATAAAATAATTCTTTTAAAAAATGAATTTCGTTTTTGGAGCTAGCAGGTGTTGTGGTTGTTAAGGATGCTGAACTCCCACATGGCTGACCGTGGTTCGAGTCTTGGACCTGGTGGCTTGCTTTCTCACTTTTTCTCTCTCTGTCCCTCTCTGATCAAATTAAAAGAAATAAATAAAGTTAAATAAAATAATTATAAAAATGAATTATATTTAGGTGGTTAAAGCAAACAGATCTCACATAGCTGACTATGGTCTGAATCCCATCTTTGAAAAATATGTCAAGCCTATGTGCAGGCATGCCCAAAATCCCAGTAGGATGAAGAAATGGAAGAGAAGGAATTGTGGCATTACCACGCCCCACTAAGTGGTGTTTTCCTCTCTTGCCCTTAATCACCATGCAACCTGCTGGCCCCAATTACATTTTTATTATTAAATAGAAAGTCTAATAAGAAAAAGCCTGAGTCTTAACAGAATCATGTGCAAAACAGTATGTACAACTAAGTTATTCACAGAAGAACTATTCACAGCAGTCAGCATATGGAAAGATGCTCAGCTTCACAGTTAATCAGGAAAATTCAAGTATAAACAACAGTGAGAGATATTCTACCTGTCAGGTTGGATGAAAGGATATTCTGTTTGTGAGACTGTGAAGACCGGCCAGTGGGGGTGCAAATGTAAATTGGGACAGCCCTTGTGAAAGGCAGTGTGAGAGCATCTGTTGACATTTTAAGAATACATTCCTTATGACCCAGTGTTTTTAATTCTATATGTATATTCTAGAAAAATATTTTTAGATATAGACAATCTAAATAACCATTACTAGAGCCACTGATTTTATAAATTATGGTGCAAAATGGACTATAATGAACCTGTTAAAACCTACATGTAAAGATCTGGAAGATTTTTAAAAAAATAATTAATTTATTTAATTCCATTTATTACTACTATTATTATTTTTACATTTGATCAGGCAGAGCTAGAAAGAGAGAGAAAGGGAAAGCAAGAAAGCAAGCCACCAGGTCCGGACTCAAACCACAGTCAGCCATGTGGGAATCCACCGCCTCTAACCACTACACAATCTGCCACCCCAGAAGAGGTTTTTTTGTGTATGAGAGAGATTTTTGCTGTAGGGCATGTGCGCCCACCAGAGATATAGAGAGAGACAGACAGAAAGCGAGAAACCACACCCCCATCCCCTGGGGGAGATGGACACACTGTTCTCTTGGAATTTGGGGCATGCACGCACATGCGCCTGACATAGTTTCAAGCCCCTGGGTCCAGGTCTCAAACTGTGGTTGGCTATGTGGGAGTCCAGTGACATAACCATTATACCACCTGCTGGTCCCAGGATAAAGAGATCTGAAAACTTAAAATAGCAGAGATGAAAATACTCTTAAGTTAATAAATTGACCAAGTTCAAGAGTTAAACACTTAATGCAGATTTCCAGCTAGAAGAGTTCAAACCCAAAAATACAAATATTATTTGGAAATACAATAAAATGTAAAAAGGGAAATGCCAGAGAGGGGGATATGTGATGGTAAAAGCTGCTACTCTAAATAGATGGAAAATAAAAGGTTGCACCTGTTTTGCATATGTGTTCAAAGTATAGATAGAGTTTACACTTGAGAAATACGTAGTCATTTCATGAGCAAATACACAGTCTGCCTAGCAACTAAACTGTAAATTTAAACTAGATGAGTACATTTACATTGTTGGTATCATAAACTGGTTAATATTTCCACAGAGCAGAATATTTTCAGTCTTTAAATTATAATCCTTTTTATTTTTAAAAATTTTTATCATAGGGTGTGTGCCCACACCAGAGAAAGACAGTGAGAGGGAAAGTGAGAAATCACCCACCAGGGGAGATGACCACACCCCAATCCCTGCTCTTCTGTTCCCCTCCTAGCTTTCTGGCACACATGCACATGTGCCCAGCATGATTCTCAAGCCTACAGGTCTGGGACTTGAACCCTGGTCAGCCATGTGGGAGTCCAGTGCTGCAGGCCCCATAGTCCTTTAAAAAAATTATTCTTTTAAATGTATAACCCATACAAATGGTATAAAATTTGAGAGGCACAAAGTATACACTAAATAAGAAATCTGTTTCCTACCCTGTCAGTCACCTACTTACCATCCCTAGGGGCCGCCTCAGTCAGTTTCTCATGTCCCCTTCCTGATGTAGTCTGTGTGTACATGAGTGTGTGTGCGTGCATTTAGACAGAATGCTTGTGCTCTTTTTAGTCAGAAAATAGCATACCTTATTCACTTGACTGTTATCATGGAGATCATTTCACTTGAACACGTTAGTGCGTATGTGTACATTAAAAGACAAGCATAGGGCTTTCCTGTAGTCTAGCAGTTAAGTGCTGTGCAAGAGGAGTTGTTCCTCTTGCTGACCACGGTACAAATCCCAGCAACAGTGGCGTGAAAAATACCCCGGGTGCATGTGCGTCTGTGGGATAGAGAAATGGAGGAAATAGAGGAAAGGGGTTTGCAGCGTGATTACGCATCCGCCTCTGTCTTTGTGTCTCTCTCTGGTAAGTGTACGTGCCCTCTGGCAATAATATATATAATAATTGTGTGTGTGTGTGTGTGTGTGTGTGTAAATACATACTATTTTATTGGATGGATATTCCAGAATTTATTTACCCATCCTTTTATTTTTTTAAAGAATTATTTTACTTAACTAACTTTATTTATTTGAATTTGATCAGAGAGGGACAGAACTGGGGCTGGGGGGTAGTGAGAAAGCAAGCTGCTAGGTCCGGGACTCGAACTGTGGTTGGCCATGTGGGAGTCCAGCGCCCTTACTATGCCACCTGCCAGCACCACCCTTTTATTGATCCCAGTCTTGCTATTATGATCAATACTGCAGTAAGGATTCTTGGATTTACAATGAGTTTATAAACATGCAGGAATACAATTTACAAATTACAATGAGTTTATACACATGCAGGGATGCAATTTACAATGATTTTATATGTATGCAGGGATATTTATAAAATTTTCCATAGCCTTTGAAAAACAAACTTTTAAAATTTTGAAATAAATAAGACAAAAAAATCAGTGGTAGTGTTTTAAAATTGTATTTATTTATTATTATTATTTTTCAATTCACCAGAGACACAGAGAAAGGCAAAATGAGAAAACAAGTTGCCAGGTCCAGGACTCTAACCGTGGTCAGCCATGTGGGAGTCCAGTGCCCCTAACCACCAAGCTTCTTGCTGGCCCTGAATTTTCAAGTTGTTTTAACATGGAATCTACCCATAGGAGAAAATGTTAAATGAAAAAATAGCAAATAAAACAAAACCCAGTACTCTGGAAATATGTATGTGTATCACTGCTGATCAGATAATTTAAAGTATTGTCAAATTTAACAACTTATTATAGTTTTGGAAAAAATCATAATTTGACTTTTAAAAAGTAAGGATATATAGTATATAATACTGTGTTTTCTTTCTGTTTTTAAATTTACCTGTTGTCATTGGACTTTACTTTTTTAAAAAATTGCCAGTGGGTGGGAACCAGCAGTTAACGAAAACCTCTCCAAAAAAAAATAAAATTAAATTAAAAATTGCCAGAGGGTGTGTGCACTTGCCAGAGAGAGGGGGGAGAGAGGAAAACACCACCTAGTGGGGTGTGTCATGCCACGATTCCTTCTCCTCCATTTCTCCATCCTATTGCAATTTGGAGCATGCCCGCACACAGGCCTGACATATTTTTCAAAGTTTGGATTCAGACCATAGTCAGCTCTGTGAAATCAGTTTGCTTTAACCACTTGGCTACAGGGATGACTCCTTTCCTTTTTTTTTTTTTTTTGAGAGGTTTTTGCTATAGGGCGCGTGCGCTCGCCAGACAGACAGAGAAAGACAGAGAGACAGAGAGCGAGAAATCACCCCCCAGGGGGGATGGCCATGCCGCAGTCCCTTCTCCTCCATTCTCCTCTCGGGATCTTGGGCACGCACGCACACGTGCCCGACATGATTTTTAAGCGACCGGGTCCGGGACTTGAACTGCGGTCGACTACATGGGAGTCCAGCGACATAGCCATTACACTAACTGCTGGTAGATCCTTTACTTTTTTAAATTAAGAATTACTTTTTTTTATTATTATTAATTTTTAAAATTTTCTGTATGGCACATGCACTCACCAGAGAAAGAGAGAGAGACAGAGACAGAGAGAGAGAGAGAGAAACTCCTAGCGGAGCATGGTCATGCCACAATCCCTTTTGTTCCATTTTTCCATCCTGTCAGGACTTTGGCATGCAGGTACATATGCCTGGCCTGTGTTTCAGTCTGCTGAGGTTAGTATTTGAACTGCGGTCAGACATGAGGGATCTTGCTAACTATGCACAGCACTTAACCACTGTGCTATGGACTGGCTCCTTTTCTTTAATGGTGCAATTTACATTCTAGTTATCTGACTTCTAATGCAGGCATAGCCTAATTAAAAATACCCTTTTGACATTTAACTTATAAAATCAAAGCTTGCATGGAGAAGTTCTGCATGAATATATTAGTAGGAAGATCATTTTGGCATTGGGTGAAATTAAGAATGCTTTAAAAATTTTTTTGAATTAAAAAAATGAATCGATGTCTATTATAAAATCAGAACAGATGACTTTCTTTTTTATACAGTATATTCATGTACAATATATTAACACAAATAATGTATTTTGAATGGATGCGTTTGGTTATGCAGAAACTAGATAATTCTATGCAAACCTCTTTACCTTGTTTTGTTTCAATTCCTATGTTGTGGGCATCTTTCTATTTCAGTAGCTACAGATCTGCCTTATGTTTTGAATGGTTGTTTGATAATCACTATTGGTTATTTTTGATCTTTCACTATTGCAAACGATGCCACACTGATTAGTCTTCCATTTCTAATGTACGGTTACGTATTTCTCTGGCTTAGATTCCCAGGACATAATTCTCTTTAAAGACAGCTGAATCAGCAGTACTTTTTCAGTTATTTAGCTTTTTTTGGTGTAACTGTTATTATTTTAGGCAAAAATATTTGAGATTGAAGTATTTTGTGCTAAAAGTATGTCTTTAAAATCAGAAGCATTAAAGATTTTGTTGTTGTTACCAGCATAAGTTGTCACACATTCATGTAATAGCTACTAAACACATGCCTGTGCTTTTGTGGCTTAGCCATGTTCTTTGTTTTTTGACTGGGATGAAATTAAGCATCTCAGTATTACTTTTTAAATTCAATTATTTTAAAAGGCATTCTGTTACACTTTTTAAAGGGTTTTCTTCCTTTGTTAAAGGTTCTGTTGGCGCAACTAACATGAATGAACACAGTTCCCGTTCCCACGCCATCTTCACAATCACTATAGAATGCAGTGAGAAAGGCGTTGATGGTAACATGCATGTCAGGATGGGGAAGCTCCATCTTGTAGATCTTGCAGTAAGTAACAGGATACTACTTAAGGAACAACTCTTTCTTGGGAGCTATTTATTTTGTAAACAAAAAAGTGCAAAGGTGTGGTTTACATATGACTTCTTTAGTCGTGTCTATGTTTATTTGCTATTATGGAATATTCCAAATGTATATAAAAGTGGATAGAATAATACAATGATTCCACTTGTACTCTTCACTCAGATTCATTAGTTAGCTTGTGAGCCATCTTGTTTCATCCGCTCTTACCTACTTCTTCCCTTCCTGTATTTAAAGCACATTCCAGACATATCAGATTTTTTAAAAATTATATTACTTTTTTTTTTTGATTTTTTTTTTTCTATAGGGTGCATGTACTCACCAGAAAGACAGAGAGAGACAGAGAGACAGAAAGCGAGAAATCATTTCCCAAGGGGGATGGCCACACAGCAGTCCCTTCTCCTCCATTATCCTCTTGAGATCTTGGCATGTATGCACACGGGCTGGCATGAGTTCAAACCACCAGGTCTGGGACTCAAACCACGGTTGACTACATGGGAGTCCAGCGACATAGCCATTACCCCATCTGCTGGTCCCAAAATCATATTACTTTTTTTAAAAAAAAACAAAAACCTTTGGGGCTGGCAGGAATTACAATGGTTAAGGTGCTTGACTCCACATGACCAACTGTGGTTGGAGTCCCGGACCTGGTGGCTTGCTTTCTCTCTCTCTCTGTTTCTCTTTCTCTCTCTGGTGAGTACCTGTGTACTATAGCATATTAAAAAGTAATAGTAAGTTAAAAAAATAATTCTTTAAATCAAAACAAAAACATTGGAAAGGATATTCTGTATTATTTTCTTTTAAGAGATTTTTGCTATGTGGCACATGCACTTGCCGGAGAGACAGAGAGACAGAAAATGAGAAATCACCCCCTGGAGGGATGGCCACGCTGCAGTCCATTCTCCATTCTCGTCTTAGGATTTCGGGTACACACGCACATGTGCCCTGCGTGAGTTTTAAGCCATCAGGCCTGGGACTTCAACCACGGTTGACTACTGGGAGTCCAGAGATGTAACCATTATGCCATCTGCTGATCCCATATTCTGTATTTTTAATTAGTTTTACTTCTGTCTTTGTTTATTGCTAGGGTTCAGAAAGACAAGCAAAAACTGGAGCTACAGGACAACGCCTAAAGGAAGCTACGAAAATCAATCTTTCACTTTCCACCCTTGGTAATGTAATTTCTGCCTTGGTTGATGGAAAAAGCACTCATGTGCCTTATCGTAACTCTAAATTGACTCGTCTTCTTCAGGATTCCCTAGGAGGAAATTCAAAAACTATGATGGTAAGATTTAATTGGTGCTGTAGTTAACATCAGGCAAATTTAAGATTCCTGTTTATGCCCACAATTGATATGTAAAACAAATGAAAAACTATTGATTATTTTACTTTTCTTGATTTGTGGTTTTCCTTTCTAGTACACTGTGTGTGCTAGATCATAATGGAAACCACTCACATGCTTTCTTTTCCAAGGAGGCCCTAGTGCTCATATAATTAAATTGACATTATTTATCTTAAATGTATCAAGTGTGAAGTGATTTGTTTTGCATTTCTTATTCAACAGTGTGCAAATATTGGACCAGCAGATTACAATTATGATGAAACTATCAGTACATTACGGTATGCCAATCGTGCTAAGAATATTAAAAATAAAGCTAGAATCAATGAAGATCCAAAGGATGCTTTGCTTCGTCAGTTTCAGAAAGAAATAGAAGAACTGAAAAAAAAACTTGAAGAAGGTAACTTTTTCTTAAAATGTTCATCTTAATGTTGATTGATAATATATTAATTAACTACCAAGTGTCAAAACAAAAAACACCTATTAAAAGTGTTTTGAGGTGGGGCTGGCAGGTGGCATGGTGATTGGGACTCTGGACTCCCACATGGCTGACTGTGATTAGATTTCCAGACCTGGCAGCTTGCTTTCTCACTTTCCCTCACTCTCTTTATGTCTCTCTCTGATCAAATTAAAAATAAATAAATAAAATAGAATTAAAAATTATTTTAAAAATAAATACATAAATAAATAAAAGTGTTTTGGGGACCAGCAGGTGCCATGGTGGTTAAGATCCTGGACTCCCACATGGTTGACTGCAATTTGAATTCTGGACCCAGCAGCTTAAAAATAATGTTGGGTGCGTATGCACGTGTGCATACCCAGAATCCTGAGAGGAGAATGGAAGAGAAGGGATTGGGGTGTGGCCATCCCCCTGGGGGAGTGATTTCTCACTTTCCCTCTCACCTTCTTTCTTTGTCTCTTTATAGCCAAGTATGCACCCGATGGCATACTTCACATTAAAAAAAAAAAAAAAAGGGTTTTCAGGGGACAGCAGGTAGCATGGGGGTTAGGCACTGGACTCCCACATGGCTGACCATGGTTTAAATCCTGGACCTTCAAGGGCATTGTGGTGCCCACCCTCTGGTAAATCCTGGACCTTCCACTTCAAAATCATGCAGGGCCTGTGTGGTACATTTCCAAAATCTAGAGAGAAGAATGAGGAGAAGGGATTGAGGGATGGCCATCCCCCGGAGGAGGTGATTTCTCACTTTCTTTCTTACTGTCTTTCTCTAGTGAGCACACGTGCCCTATGGTAAAAACCTAAAAAAAAAAAAAAAAAGAAAGTAATAAAAAGAATCCTGGAAAGTAACTTGGTATTTACATACTTTAGCATTTTCATATTAAAGTTAGTAAAATTATTTAACTTGTGTGTATGTGGTTTTAAAAAAATTAAACTGCCATCATTAGTCTCATGAACTTTGGTAGATTTCGTATGACCACTTGTTAAATAATAATTTTTACTTGTCTCTGTGTAAGAGCAGATTCCACTGTGTGTGGATTTAGGTGAACATGACCAGCACTCTAGGCTTTAGATTGCTGTCAGCTCACTATTATTTGAAGTAAAGAAAGTTATGGTTAAACTGGGTTTGCAATAAGTAAAAGTACATGGCATGGCCTTGAAAATGCTTTTATAACTTAAATTTGAATGTGATCATTAATTTTGATGGTTCTTTTCTAGCAAGATAATGCTAGAAGTTTACAAAATCTGAAGATCTTATTTATGAGGGTAAAAAACTTCTAATCGTCTTTAAGTGCCCTAGCACTGACTCCCTGCACCCGCATGGAACAGCAAGTCCTTTCTGGTTGTCGTAGAGCTCCTCTGTGAATCAGGTGAACAGAGGGCTTTGAAACTGTGCATTTGCAGTCTGAGGGGATTGATTATAGAGGTGAAGTCCAGAGATGCCAGCATTACAGGCGTTTGGGAAATTGCTGATTCAATAAACTTGAGTAAATTTGTTGAAGAAATGTGATAAGTGAACCGTCTTTTAATAGGTGTTTTTAACATGACCACTAGGTGGTATTTATAGCCAGGGTGTTTTAAATATTTTTAATTTCTTAGTTCTGTTAATGTTAAATGAGTGCCTTTATTTTTTAAAATTTTTTTAATGTGGTAAAATAGCATAACATAAAATTTACCATTTTAGCCTTTTCCAGTTTTTGCTATAGAGCACATGCACTTACCAGAGACAGAAAGAGAGAGAGAGAGAGAGACATCACAGCTCAGGTGGATAGCCACACCACAGTCTCCTCTCCTCCATTCTCCTCTTGGGATTCTGGGCACACATGCTCATATGTCTGCTGTGATTTTCAAGCTGCCGGGTCTGGGACTTCAACTGTGAAGTCAGCCATGTGGGATCCAGCTGCCTTAACCTCCACACCATCTGCTGGCCCATTTTAACTATATTTAAGTATGTATATTTCAGTGGTATAAGTATGTTCACGTTATGCAGCTATCACCACTATCCATTTCTGGAACTTTTTATATTACCCAGAGACTCTGTAAGCATTGATTACCAACTTCATATTCCCTTCTCCCTCTAGTTCCTACTAACCACTGTTCTGCTTTCTGTCTCTATGAATTTAGACACTGCTGGGTGCCTATTTAAGGAAATCATACAGTATATGTCCTTTTGTGTCTAGTTTATTTCACTTCGTATAATGTCTTTAGATTCATCCACGTTGTAGCATTGTAGCATCTACTGGAATTTCATTCCTCTTTTTAAATTTTTATTGACATTTAATGACTGAACATCTTTATGGTGTACAACATGGTTTTTTTCCCCAGCATGAATTCAGTGCATATTAGTCAAGTCAAAGACAACCATATACATCATCATCAACAGATATCTTTTCATTTCTTTTTCTTTTTTGGGGAGACATGTTTGCTATAGGGCATATGGCTCACCAGAGAGACAGAGACAGAAAGCGAGAAATCATCCCCTGGGAGGATGGCCATGATTCAGTCTCTTGTCCATTCTCTTCTCGGGATTTTGGTCATACATATACACGCACCCACCATGAGTTTTTTAAGCTGCTGGGTCGGGACTCAAACCACAGTTGACTATGTGGGAGTCCATTGACATAACCATTACTCTGTCTGCTGGTCCCCAGGGTAATTTCTTTATCCTTTCAATACATCATTTTTTTTTTTTCCTTAGCATTTTCTGGCACTACAAGGTATCTTAGGCTCATCTTATATCTTCCTTGTCCCAACCTTAGTATCATCCATTTTTCCCTGTTTTTTTTTTTAGTTGGAGAACGTTATTTAGAAACCAAAGTTTGGGCACTAGGTGTGCTCATTGGTACCAAGGTGTCACTGTTCCTAGGCATAAAAAACAAAATGTTTGTTCATTTGTTTTCTTTCATTATTTATTTAATTTTATTTATTATTACTATTGTTATTTTTAATTTGACCAGAGAGAGGGGAAAAGTGAGAAGCAAGCCACCAGGTCCAGGACTCAAACCAGGGTCGGTCATGTGGGAGTGTAGCCCCTTAACCACCATGCCACCTGCCAGCCTCAAAACAAAATGTTTTTAATGAATTCTTTCTCCCAAGACCCTTTCGGTCCTTTATATGTGGGAACAGTTAGTGTCTAGTTGTGATTAGTGTATATTTTACCTTTTCCATTTCTTAGACATTTCATATATAGACAGTGGTTTTTTGTTTTGTTTTGTTTTAAGAGAGAGAGATTTTTCCCATAAGGCACATGTGCTTGCTGGAGAGAGAGACAGAAAGTGAGAAATCACACCAGGGGGGATGGCCACACCACAGTCCGTTCTCTTTCATTGTCTTCTCAGGATTTTGAGCATGCATGCACACATGGCTGCCATGAGTTTCAAGCTGTCGAGTCTGGGACTCGATCCGTGGCTGGCCATATGGGAGTCCTGTGATATAACCGTTATGCCATCTGATGGTGTCTGGCAGTAGTATTTTTAAATAACTAATTTGAAGGTAGTTTAGTGTTGATCTTTACTAATACTAGTTTAATCATTCCTTTTTATTAGACTTGTTTTTAAGTTAATAAGTAGTTAACATTATCTTTGTACAGACGAACCCTTTTTTTGAATCGTTTCTTATGATATAGTCCCAAAAGAGAGATGACTGTGTTAAATGACAACTGTATGATTCTTGGGGGAAAAAAAAAGTACAGATTGGGACTAGCAGATGGCTTGGTGATTAAGGCACTGAACTCCCACATGGCTGCCCACAGTTTGAGTCCTGGACCTAGCAGCTTGAAAATCATGCCTGACATGTGTGTGTGCGTGCCCAAAATCCCAAAAGGAGAACAGAGGAGAAGGGACTGCAGCATGGCCATCCCTCCTGGGGTGATTTCTCACTTTTCCACTCTTTGTCCCTCTCTGTCTTTCTCCAACAAGCACATGTGTCCAATGGCAAAAAAAAAAAAAAAGCTTTTTCAAAAACCCCAAAAAACTGATTGAGTGAATTATTTGACATTTTAGACTAGAAACTGAGAAAAAAATATCAATTTGAAATTTTATTTTTAAAAATAAATTTATTATTTATTCATTTATTTATGTTTTTAGAGATATTTTTTTCTGTAGGGTATGTGTACATGCCAGAGAGACAGAGAGAGACAAAGAGACAGAAAGTGAGAGATTACTCCCTGGGGGATGGCCACATTGTAATCCCTTCTCCTCCATTCTCCTCTCTGGATTTTGGGCATGCATGCACATGCGCCCAGAGTGAGTTTTTAAGCCGCTGGGTACAATACTCAAACCACAGTCAACTACATGGGAGTCCAGTGACATAACCATTATGCAATCTGCTAGTCCCACTATTATTAATTTTTAAAATTTGACCAGAGAGTGAAAAAACAACCAACCAGGTGTCCGGGACTCGAACTGTGGTTAGCCATGTGGTAGTTCAGTGCCTCAACCACCATGCTACCTGCTGTCCCCACAATTTGAATTTTTTTTTTCTCTTTTTTTTGGGAGAGGTTTTTGCTATAGGACGTGTGCGCTCGCCAGACAGACAGAGAGAGGCAGAGAGACAGTAAGCGAGAAATCACACCCCAGGGAGGATGGTCACGCCGCAATCCCTTCTCCTCTATTCTCCCCTCGACTACATGGGAGTCCAGCAACATAGCCATTACGCTAACTGCTAGTCCCCACAATTTGAAATTTTAAATGGATCAGAATTTAACTTCTTTTTAGAGACTTTCAAAATAAAATCTTTGTGTATGACTTGTCTGTGTCCAAGATGAGCATAGCTGATAGTCTGCCAAGGAAAATTTAAATAGCATTTAAATGATTGTTTAGGTAAACAAACTCACCGAAATTTGATATAGGAATTTTCTAAGTAGACAATGACTTGGTACAGAATAAAAATCATCCCATTCAATTTCTACTTAAGGGGAAGAAATATCAGGCTCAGATATCAGTGGCTCAGAAGAGGATGAAGATGAAGAGGGTGAAGTTGGAGAAGATGGAGAGAAAAGGAAAAAAAGAAGGGGTAAGTTTTATTTACTGTTCTGATTTGTAGAAATTAACTAGGATTGCAGGAAACCAATAATGGTTTCACACTCCTAAGGCAGTAGATTCCATGCCTTGTAATTTGCCATTTTTAGTCATGGTAGCAATTAGAAAAGAGGATATATGTCTTTCTATCTGGTTAGCTGTGCATTTGTTTTCCTCCATATTGATCTCTTACTTAGAGCTGATTCATATACCATGTGTTCTGTTTTAGAATTTGAGATTGTAAAATCTGTAATAGTGGATATACCATTGAAAAATTTCACATAGAATTCTAATTCTATATGTAGGTAGTATCTTAGGAGCCTAAGTTTTTTAGCAAATTACAACAATATGTAATTTTTCATCAAAGTTAGTCTTTAGAAGTAATTGAGTTTTTAAATAATGAACATGTATGAGGATTCTTTTTTTATTGAATTATTTTCTTTATAAAATGTACTCTCATTTTCACCCTGTTGGCATTTGTTGCTAAGTGTGAATTCAGACTGTTCATTGTGTTAAGGGTATAGAAAACATGCAAGAGACAGACATATTATAATGGCTTGCATTTCAAATGTTTCTTCCCTAAATGTTGTTTATTTCAGAACTCTCTTCCATTAATGTGGATCATTGTTTTCAAGCTGGTGCATATTTTGCTTGTCTTATTGAAATGATCTTGCTGAAAATAAACCCATCACTATCTGATCAGGAGTTTCAAATTAAAAACTATAAAGATTCTAGAACTTCAAAAGACAGGAAAAGCATAATTCAGTGCAAAAGATGGCAAAAATACAGTCTGTTAGTGAAATCCAACTCATACCCTGTTTTTGTAAATCGAATTTATTAGAACAGCCATGCCCATTTGTTTGCATATGACCTGTGGCTGATTTAACTTGGAACCTTACGGCCTCAGAGCCTAAAACATTGTTGACCAACCCCTGACTTAGAGAAAAACAAATTTTTTTTATAAGTAGTTTTTCCCAGAGTAAACTATTCTTTTTTGGGAATAAAGCAGATAATGGATTTCTTAAAAATAAATTTTTAAATAGAAAAAAATGTTACTATTCAATGCGTTCACATATTTAATAGTAATATGTCTTCCTTCCAGGCTTAGAACTTTGAAAGTCTTCACTGAGCATTTTCAAAATTTTTTAATCAAACCTAAAACATAAAATTTAAATTTGATATTTTAACATTTTGGAAGGGAGAAAGCAAAACTAGAGACAGATCAACCTGTCTATAATAAAGGTCATTTATCATTTCTATAATATTGTATATGACTTTAGTTTTAAAACTCTGTTCCTTTAACTTATCCACCTAAATACTTTAAATAAACTTAAATGTCACCAAATGAGATACTTATTTCTCATTCTCGTCATTTCAGTCCTGTGAATTACTGTGTTTTAGGTGAGTAGTGGATTTGTTCACAGTAGATGTTTAAAGGAACAGCTTCTTATTCCCCCTGTATGGCTTTGTAGAGACTATTGGATAGACTACCAAGGCTGGTTTTAAGGGAAAGTAAGTTTTGGTTCTTTAATACAAAGCTTGATTGTCCTTTAAAATTCTTTCTCTGGAACTGAATTTTTCTCTGTGTATGTGTTTATTTTCTTGTTTCCTCTTTCTTTGGTTCCTGGTGGGCTCATTTCTTTGTCTTCCAGGCAGTAGCAGCAGCAGTAGTTCAGACTCCACATGTTCTGTCATAGAGAAACCTCTGGATAAGTTCTTGCATAGTGAGTGGTAGCTCTTAAATTCTCTAACAGAGCTTTGGCTTTTCCATAACCCATGGGCTTCATTTGAGAAATGCTGCACCGCTCCCTGTCATTACTTGAAGAATATATGTTGGACTTCTCAGCAGAACAAAGCATGTGGTGATCCCCCACCCCTCATCATCGCTTCCAGTTAACCGTAATTGTTAAAACATATGCTTGAGCTTATGTTTGAGACAATGGAAGAGAGATTCATGCTTTTGCAATTGAGATAATGTAAAGAGAGCTAGTAAGCTGTATAAAAGAATAATCCTTATGCTGCTTTTTTACGTTTTGTGATAACTTTATAATCCTGATCAGTATAAGGAATATGTAACGACAAATCCTGAATTTCCGAGAATACTGTATTTAGGGGCCAGCCTGTGGTGCCATCCGTGATTGAGGTAACTGGATCCCACATGGTTGACTGTGCAGTTCAAGTCTCAGACCCGGCGGCTTAAAAAACATTCTGATCGCATGGGTATGCATGCACAAAATCTCAAGAGGAGGGAGAGATGGAGCAGTCGGTGGAGTGACCATGCCCTATAGGGTAGGGGGTGGTCCCCCTCCCACCCCCCAGTCCTGTGCAGTTCAAGTCTCAGACCCGGCGGCTTAAAAAACATTCTGATCGCATGGGTATGCATGCACAAAATCTCAAGAGGAGGGAGAGATGGAGCAGTAGGGACTGTGGAGTGACCATGCCCTATAGGGGGTGGTCCCCCTCCCACCCCCCAGTCAGCACACACAGCCTCTGGCCAAAATTAAAAAAAAAAAAGTATTACATTTGGGCATATACCAGTGCCCATTATAACATGTCACACAGGCATAGACATTCTATTCTCTGTGCCCTATTTGTAGTGGTAGTGTAAGATTGGAAGCTCCCAAGGAAAAATGTGAAGCTTGAAACAAGAGAAGGTAAATTGAATAGTATTTTATTTCAGATAGACATTTTTCTCTATTTCTAAATCACCTGACTTAAAGAAAATTTTCTAAGGTGCGATTAGAGAATTCAGAATCACAAGAAGTTCATGCAAGATCTTTTTAAACTTATTTCAAATGTGAAGGCTTTTTTCTTAAACCTTAATTAAGTTAAAAGTACTATTTAATTTTATCTATGTATCAATTAATTTTATCTATTTATATTTTATTTTCAGAAGAAAAAAGAGGTGATGCATTCTTGTACCAGCTTGCAGCTTACTGTCTTTTAAAGCATTATCTATATACTTACCATTTCCAAACTAATAACAAAAATAATTGCTTATTTGTTATTGTGCTTTTATTAGCCTTCTAGAGGAGAAATTCCAAGAATATTAGAAATCTTTTTCCTATTGGCAGTTCTTAAGCATTTTACCAAAACAATTTCAGAAGATAACTTGTAAAATATATGAAACTGCTTTAGAAACTATATGGAGGTATTAATCTGTGTTTTAAACCGTAAAATGTGAGAAAATATCTCAGTAGGAGACACTGTACTTTAATTAAAAAAAAATTTGTTATTGTAATACATTATGTTTTTAAAACTTTGTTTAAATATTTAAAGAATAGTTATATGAAAGTATGTTATAAAATGAGTTGTACTTTGTTCAATGCAAGAAGTTTTAATTGCTGTTTGCATACCTAGCACGATGGTTTTTTGTTGTAAGTATGTTTGTTGAGATGGAGAGATGATTGCCCCAGCATGTGGTTGCTGTGTGTAACTTGTGTGTACCCTCCCTTTAAAAATATGAATCAACTTTTTTTAGGTGTCCCTTGCTTGAATCATCAGTTGGCATTTGTTTCTATACTATCATTATTCTAATTACCCTTAACAGTCTACTAATAGGTTGAATGTAAGTTTGTTACTATACAGGTGTACTTCATTTTATGTGATACGTGTTTTTTTCTGAAAATACTGTTTATAAATCAAGTAAGAAAATCAAATGTCTTGAGAGAATTTGCTGGCTTTAAAAAGTCCTCATCATGGCCCAGCTACACTGACTCAGACTGCTCAGACACTGCTGCTCCTCTGCAGGGTGGGACCACATGGGATGCCCAGGTTCGATCCCCAGTCTGATCCAAAGGCTGCCATGGCTATGTGTGCCCGCAGTCCCAGTGACTCAGGGGCTGAGGCAGGAGGATTGTAAGCATAAGTCTGTTCTGGGCAATATAGCAAGACCTTGTCTGAAAAAGAGGTGGACATGGTGGTGAGCACCGCAGTCTCAACTAGGAGGCCGAGGCAGCAGGGTCCCAACAGCCTAAGATTCTGTGTTAAAAAAAAAAAATACAGGGACCAGCAGGTGGTGTAGTGGTTAAATTGCTGGACTCCCATGTGACTGACTCCAGTTCGAGTCCTGGACTCAGCAACTTAAAACTTACACTGGGTGCGTGTGCATGTGTGCCCAGAATTCCAGGAGGAGAGTAGAGAAGTCGCGTGGCCATCCCCCTGTGGGGGTGATTTCTTGCTTTCTGTCTTTCTGTCTCTCTCTGTCTCTTAGGTGAGTACATCTGCCTTATAGCAAAAATCTCTCAATACAAACAAACTAACAAAACTATTAAATTCTTTTGAAAATCAAGTAATTAGTACAAATTACTATAATCGGATTTATTCTGTATAGCTCAGGCTTTTGCATTGGATTTTCTTAAAGTGGGGCACACCTGTAGTGGATCCTTGTACTAGACGAGACATTGAATTGGGAAATTTTGGAAATGGACAGTGTGAATTTTGTTACTTAACAATTTAAAAATCGGCTTAGTCTTGTGTTGACCTTTTAGATTAATTCCCAGGCTTTAGCAAGTTCCCAAATTCCCAATTCCATGTCTACTGTTAGCAAAATCACGGGGAGGCTAAACTATTGTGTTTGCAGGAATTTGGGGATCTGTGGGAGCACTTGAGATTGATTTGAGTTATACTCTCAGACTAAATTAATCTTATTATCCTTGCTTCAGTTATCTCTCTCATTGCGTTGAATATGCTTTTTACATTTCAGTTTTGTTAATGATTTGATTTATTTCTATACTTACACTATAAATGAATGCTGTTATACATTTTTCTTTGTTTTACAAAATAAGTAATATTTTCCTTTTTTTCTTCTCATCTCTGTGCATATGCTTCCTGTCTACGATTTGCTTACTACTTATTGCAAGATCAAGCAGGTTGGTGTGATTGATATTGCACTCCACGGGGTACAGTTGTATATCCTAGAAAGAACTTTGTTATTAAAATACATTACATTTTAAAATTTTAATTTTTTTTTACAAGGTAAGTATCTTTTTTGATTTTAAAACAATCTTTCAACTTTGACTTTTCAAAAAAAACTTCCTTTTTCCCTAAATTCTTAAAGACCCATTCAGCTAAAAATAAATTTTAGAAATACAAATATGAGTGCTTTCATAGTCAAACATTTTTCTCATTTGTTTTTGAAAGACCAGTAACCAAATGCCTGGTTACTTGTGCTGGTTGGTGCTCTTGTAATGAAAATGAAATTAACTCAAAAAGCTTTTCCCTAAAGTTCTTCCCTTAACTTATTTTTGCCAATTCATTTTCATAGTTTTGGTTAGAGCACATGACAAAGGCAATTAAAAATGCTACTTTTGTTAGGCTTACTTAAATATTATGGCATTAACTTCTTTTTTTTTTGAGACTTTATTTAACCTGAAAATTTGTATTGAATTTTATTATGCAGTATTAGACAAGGAAGAATTTTCTGTTGTTGTTTGGTTGGTCTAGTTGATAAGTTTTTTTTCTAATAAAAAAATGTAAATGTGACTTTTAGTGATGTCACACTTTTAAGCAACTGGTTATGGGAGTTGATAAACACATTTAGCTTAAAATGTTATTTGGGAAGAAACACAACGATTTGTCAGAGTGATTCTGACTAAGTATGTGACTTAAATATCCGACTTTTTAAAAGTTTATTTATTTATTTTTTCCACAAGAGAGAGAGAGAGAGTGTGAGACAGGCACCCCCAACAAGGCCTTCATTCTACAATCCACCCCAGCCTCAGTCAGCCCAGATCATGGGTGTATGTGCACAGGAGGGCCGAGGATAGGTGCCCAGGACTTTCAAATGTAGGTCTGGCATTGTAGAGTGTTGCCTTACCACCGTGCCACTGTCTGGTGCCTAAATGTTAGATTTTTGAAACTAAGCCTAGCTCTCTCTACATGGGCAGGCATCTTCATGAAAATGTTATAAGAGCTTTGTTACCAAGGCATCAGTTTGAAAAAATTACCTGAATGGTTTCAGATTTCTAATGTAATTCAGGCATCATACTAATTCATCAATAGACTTAAACTTTTATATTTCTACCTAAAAATTGTACTGCCTCTTAATTTTTGAAACCATGTTTTTGTTTTTTTTGGAGAGGTTTTATTTTTGCTATAGGGCACGTGCGCTCGCCAGACAGACAGAGAGACAGAAAGCGAGAAATCACCCCCCAGGGGGGATGGCCACGCCACAATCCCTTCTCCTCCATTCTCCTCTCGGGATCTTAGGCACTCACACACACGCGTCCAGTGTGAGTTTAAGCCACCAGGTCCGGGACTCGAACCGTGGTGGACTACGTGGGAGTCCAGCGACATAGCCATCACACTAACTGCTGGTCCCGAAACCATGTTTTAAATGATTAACAAAAGACCTAGAACTCTAGTTCTAGTTCCTAAAAAGACTATTGTCATACATGGATCAGATTGCTTCCTCTACATCATTAGTATCCATGTCTTAGTATATATGTTATTTTTGTAATAACATATATGTCATTTTTCTTTAAAGTGTTTTTGCCCATGTACTTACTATATACCTAAACTTATACCTTTCTTCCTCAAATTTCTTTTTTTTTTTGGAGAGATTTTTGCTAGAGGGAGCGTGTGCTCGCCAAAAAGAGACAGAGACAGAAAGCAAGAACTCACCTCCCAGGGGCAAGGGCCACGCGGCAATCCCTTCTCCTCCATCCTCTCAGGATCTTGGGCACACACGCACACACGCCCGGCGTAAATTTAAGCCACCGGGTCCAGGACTCGAACTGCGGTCAACTACGTGGGAGTCCAGCGACATAGCCATTACGCTAACTGCTGCCCTCTTCCTCAAATTTCTAAGAGATAATATTTCTGATAAAAAATTTGTCCATGCTGTTCATTAGGAATAGAAGTTAAATTATTTTTAAAATTCATGTTTCACATCATAATTCAGAAGGTACTATCCAGGTGTCTGTGCAAACACAACAGAATCAGGTTTCCATCCTGACATGGAATGCAATGAATCACACCACACCACAGCATGAAATTAGATCAGTGCTTTTATGTCCTCTTTTATTTAATTTGTTTTGTGGCTTAGGTTTGCTTTGGACTTTTAATTCTATAGAAATGAAGGGTATGTATTTTTAAACACTTAAGTTTTTTATATAATTTTGTCCTAAAGAGTTAAAACCTATGAATGATTCTCAGTTTGTGTTTCTCATCTCATGGTTCCTGGAAGAATATATTTAGATATGTATCTCCATCAGAATTATTTTAGCACTTTCTCTTTCTTAGCAGGAAGGGTTAGCTTCTGAGTGTAGACATTAACAATTTATAAACTCTTCTGGTTTGTGCTCTTCCTTTGTGGTAATAGCCTTTCAGGCGAGCCTCAGACCAGTTCTACAGAAAGTTTGATTTGTTTTCTGAAGGAATATGTGTTTTTTAAGAAATTCTATTGCCAGAAATGAATTATCTTTGATTATGTTTCATAACCAGTTTAACAAGCTAGTTTTTATTTTCTTTTTCTGATTTCTCTATTTTAATGATTTTTTTTTTAGAGGTTTTTGCTATAGAGCGCGTGCGCTCACCAGAAAGACAGAGAGAGACAGAGACAGAAAGTGAGAAATTATCCTTCAGGGAGGATGGCCATGCTCCAGTCCCTTCTCTGTTCTCCTTTCGGGATCTTGGGCACTCATGCACACAAGTCTGGCATGAGTTTAAGCCACTGGGTCCAGGACTTGAACCGCAGTCAACTAACTACATTGGGAGTCCAGTGACATAGCCATTATGCCATCTGCTGTTCCCAAATTTAATGATTTTGAAATCTATCAGAAACTATCCATTGAGCACCTATTCTATGTGTATAAGACACTACTAGGCAGTATAATAAAAAAAATCAGTTGGAAAGTATATTCTAGCTTTATCCATTAATGATATTTCTACTTGTATTTGACACTCGGCATGTTTTGTCTGACTCGGAGATTTGGGCTCCTGAGTTTGACATGATAATGAGCTATTTTAGTTGCTCATCTAGGATATGGTATATCTTGATATCTGAGCAGCTGTAGCATGCCTGGTGTAATTGTTACATAACTAGAATAAAATTTCTTCCTTTAAAATTATTTTACTATGAAGTAAAATAATTTTTGAGTAATTTTATTAAACAAAAATTTTAGAAAAACTCTGAAGAAAATATGAGGGGGACAGACTTCAAAGTATATAGAAAAATTAAATTAAAATATAAGTTTATTTTGGTGCCAAAAAAAACAGTTCTACAGAAACTTTGACAGGCAGAGTTTTTTCATAGTAAGCATTTTTCATGAATTTGTGTAAAACCCCTCACACATTAAAAACTACAAGATATAAATTCTGCCTGATATTTTTAACCTGTATCTTTTATTCATACATATGACTTTTAGTTATGCATTTATTTTATGTGATTTAGGTGAAAGTATTTTGAGAAGCCATTTGATTTTGTACTCAGCTATCAGGAAAAAGTAACTGAAGAATCATTTTGCTTCTTTTTTCCCCTTAGCCCCATGTATGTTCTTTGGGGAAACACAAATCTTTGCTTTGTTGACCTGGCCTTCTTGTTACTCTTTCTTTCCTTACTTTTCTTTTCTGCTCATCGTTTGCTTCTTGGTCACTTATTTTTTTTTTTTTTTTAACATATTGCACACTTGGACAACTGTTTGGCTTTAGCAATGAGTTAAAAAGTTCTAGAAACATAATAGAAATGAAAAACATGATTTGATTTCCTTAAAATGTCAATATTTGGTTTTGAATTATTGAAGAGGCTAGGTAGTTCTGTGTTGAAGATAATTTATGTAATCTGAAACTTTGATCATCATTTTGGTGATTGTTGCAATTAAACGACTCAAATAGGTAAAAAGAAAGTTTCCCCAGATAAGATGGTTGAAATGCAAGCAAAAATTGATGAGGAGAGAAAAGCACTTGAAACAAAGCTCGATATGGAAGAAGAAGAAAGGAACAAGGCTCGAGCTGAGCTAGAGAAACGGGAAAAAGATCTTCTTAAAGCCCAGTGAGTATGGCTGAACTGGATTCAGAATTTAAATTGCTAGTACTTTTCGCAGGCTGTATGAGCAGGAAAATTGAACGGTACTTTAAAAGCGTGGCTCTAGTCTGCACTGTAACTGTATGGGGATAGAAGGTCCCATTGTATGTAGTGTATTTCTGAAAGTGAGATCTGTTTCAATTACTTTGTCTCTGAGATCTGTTTCAATTACTTTGTCTCTGTGTCGGAGGAAAAAGTCAGTGAATTTGAGTTAGTTAGAGGTTAAATCATAATATTATTTGGTGTTATGATTTGATAGAGATATTTAATAATTACATTCCTGTTTTGAGATTGTGCCTCCCAAATCTTGTTAAGTTTTGGAGTATTAATAGACTAGTAAATGATCAGCACTCATGGAGCATTCCTATTTTAATTGACAGACAGGAACATCAGTCTTTGCTGGAGAAATTATCTGCCCTGGAGAAGAAGGTCATTGTTGGTGGTGTTGATTTGCTGGCCAAAGCCGAGGAACAAGAAAAACTTCTGGAAGAATCCAATATGGAGCTGGAAGAAAGGAGGAAAAGAGCAGAGCAACTTCGCAGAGAACTTGAAGAAAAAGAGGTAGTGTGATTGTTTTTGTCTCTAGGTTGATAGGCTACCTAAGATGTTTAACTCTTCTAGTGAAAAATCTTTCATTTGAGAGAGATTTTTGCGTAGCATGCATGTGCTCTCTGGAGAGACAAAGAGAAAACACCCACCTCCCCCCAGGGGGGATGGCCAATCCCTTCTTCTCCATTCTCCTCTTGGCATTTTAAGCATGCATGCACACACGCCCAATGTGAATTTTAAGCCGTCCTGTCCTGGACTTCAACCATGGTGGACATCATGGCAGTACAGCAAAGTAACCATTACACCATCTACTGGCCCTTCTAGTGAAAATCTTAATGAAATTTTAAAGCAGATTTATAAATCTCTTTGATGATGATAGTTGCTAAACATATATATAT